ATGGGGCGCCGGCAGGGGGGGCCGCCCCTGGCAGCCTATGGCTTATTGATAGGATCTGATCCAGTCATGGTTCTGTGATATGCCGCTCCGCAATAGAACTCATGCTATGTTCTGAAAATCTGTCAAGAACTGATAAGAACTGTCTGAGTCTGCTGTGACAGTTTCTTTGTTTATTTGATGCATTTGTCATTTGTCATGTTGAATAGAGCAAACAATGCAAACAACTGCAGAAGTGGCCCTCCGACAATAGAACAGCCGTTACTTTATTTAGTTGTCTTGGGGGCTGCAAGTGCCGCCCTGTGATCCTTTCGTACTCCGGGCCAAGCCAAACGTCCTCCCGCAGTGCTGGGACTTAATGTCCTTGATTCGATGCCCGTAAAACACATGCAATACATCGTACAAGGCTGCAAGCCGGCGTGCTGGTCAGCTAGAGGAATCACACTTTGAGGAAGTCAGTCTGAATGAATATACACTACAGTGCCTTACCCTCAGCCAGCAAAAAGATGTGATGTCATGTAATGTGATGTCTAGGTGCATTTGTAGACATCGCGGAATAAATGCATCCAAAATAATCCAAACACCTTCGTAGGGCCCTGCTTTGCCCCATGCGCAACCGTCATTTTTCGCGCCGTGGTGGCTCTGATGGCGTTACAGGAGCCTGCCCTACACCTCATAAATTGGAACCAAACTAAAGGATCTTTTGGGAATGTTCAACATTGTTCAACTGTCATTGCCATAGTGGTAGAATGCAGTGAAACTCTCTGTCAGCCATTTGAACCCTTTACGTGCAAAGTCCTGGCAGCCGGAATTGCAGTAGGAACGCCGGTGAGTGGGACATGCTCCCAGATTATTTCACGCGTCGCCCGTCTTTTGAGCGCGTGTGAGCCAACAAGAGCTGACATTGTGAGACGAGGCATGACTTGCAACGAAGCCCATGGCACAAAACCCAACATCTGAAGCCACGAGCCTATCCGATGCCTTGGCACCATCTAGCAGAGCAAGATCGATGCACGATGGGAATCCTGGTGACCGATCACTGATGACCCAACAGAGTTCGAACTCACAGAAGCCTCAGGGCTGCGGACTGAAGGCATGCCTTCTGGAGGTGAGACGGGCCGAGGAGGCCTTGAATTCTCCTAACCTAAAGAGCTCACACTCCAGGCCAAAGACTGTGCTCAGAACTCCAGGCCAAAGACTGTGACAATACCTGGGCCGTTCATCTGCGACTCTTGCTTCTGTCCCAAAAATTCCTGATGGCCGAACAAACCTCAAACAAATCTCCATGGAATGAAGCACAAACATCCCATGAGCTCTGAATCCGAACTGAAGCTATGTGAATCTCATGTTCGCCCATAGTGTTGAACAACCCCATGGATCCTATGCCCTGAAGGAATTCCCCAACACATGGAAACGGTTTTCATACATTGCATCCCAATAAGTTTAAGCGCGGAGCCATCCATGAGGTCTCAAAAAGCCTCTGTCTCCCTCTCCCGGGTGCGGACTGCTGATGTGCAAGCAAGGGGCAATACATCGACTTATTCACCACGTCTTTGGACCTCTCCCGGGACCCGTCTGACGAAACACTAACTAAGAAACCTCTGACGCTGAAGAGTCTGAAGAGGTGACTGCCAAAGAAAGGAGTATATAAGTAAAGACTACTATATAAAGACAAATAAACAAGGAACAGAACACGCAATGGAGCAAAAGCTGGCAACTGCGGCTGATGCTTTCCTCTTAGTAGGACTAAAATCCTCTGAGGCTGATGCTTTTCTCTTGGCCAAACATAGGTGTAGACCTCAGCTCTCAGAATATCAACGCATGGTCCTTTGCCGTGCTCTCTTACCTGATCTGCTAAAACATGCAAAAACTACTGCTGGCCGGCGCCCGACTGGAAACCAACGGTGATTCCCATGATATCTATACCACACAACTACAACCAACTTTGATCGATCTTGATCTCCTGTGGTCTCCTCGACCCACATGATCCCTGCGGTCCTGCACCACCTCGGTTAGCATGTTCGATGTGATCGTTGCTTCGCTTCGTGGGCCCGTCGGTCACCCGTCGCTGGGCCGTCCCGGCGCCGTCGTTTCCAGCGTCCCAATAGCAGGAGGTGGACGTATGCAGCCCGGCGCCTGGTGGACGTATGCAGCCCGTCACGGGGTCAGCGCCAAGCGCTGCATCGCAACCCGGCTTAGGCATGTCAATCAATTGACGTGTGTGGGCGGGGGCCGCAAACAATTGCAACATTATTGCAACGCAGCTTCACTTCAGAATGGCTGCTCTTTGCCAATGTTTAATGTCTAGCTGGGTTCTGAGAGACCGCAGGTAGGGCGCTGCGCAAACCGTTGGGGTGAATGACCACGAAGGCTTGGTCGCCGGCCGTTTCTCTGCATGATGATACCTTGGCGCGATCTCACAGGAAAGGATCCAAAGTGGAGCGAGGTCTGTTCAACACACAAGTGCTTCCGATGTTGAAGTCGCGCATCATGGTTTTACCCGAAGGCAACGCAGCTAGCTCGGGCAGCCAAGTCACAAGATACTACGTACTTGAAGGGCTTCTTTTGCTCATTCCTGGCAAGAATCTAGGCTAAGCGCTGACAAAGCACAACCCGAACCAAACAGTCTACAGTGGTAGCTGGTGGCCGCTATATGTACTGCAAGTGATGCAGTATGAAGGTGCTATAACCTGCTGTGACTAGTGACTCGTGCAAATTGCGGGTAGGTAAAGCCTTTGTATGCTTTCGTGTGTTTGCTTCCTCCGTTGTGACGTGTGCCACCCAAATCCATCTAAACCCACCCCCCATCGCAAGAAGGACCAATACCAAGACTAAGAGTTTAAGGGGGTTCCGACTGCCAAAAACCAAACCGCGAGATACTGCAAGGTATCAATCCAAAATCATCAATAAGGCCACCCGACTCTCGGTCAAGGGTAACTGGTGAAACATGACCGCGATGTGCGACGAAGGACCAAGCTCAAACCTCACAACGCACACATGGACTTGCAGTCATTGACGTGATCTGTTCTATGGTGATCATATCATATCATATCTACGAGGAAGAAACAACTTGAAGAAAACAATCTTGGCCATCGATGGAAACAACAATAGTGAGGCACACTACAATCCTTTCAATCCCCTTCAAGATCAGTCCAGCCTGCTATTGCGGTTGTGGCGAAATATCCATCCTCCACGGACTCTAGCACAATCTGACCACCCTCTGTTTAAGGAACATGATCGAACCCAGGGGGGCAATCGCGTCTGCGCTTGGAAACAGGACGGCCAGGCAGTCGTGCCATAATGCCTTCACCTTGCACTTTCACCCCTCCCATCCCCATGCCCTGGGCCCAAAGGGATTCCAAAAATAATCAACCAAAAAACGCTTCCAACTCCTCAACTCCTAGGTCCCAGGAGTTGGAGCAAAAACCGAAGCACTGGACCCTGGGCTCCGCTCGGGTCACTGCCGCAGGACAACGCCCTCGACTCAGTCGGGGGTCCACTCTTTTTCGGGCACATCGCCGGCGAAGTTGGGCAAAGGCAGCATACTCCAACGGTTGACCCCCTGCGAAGTCGAAACAACCCTGACACGTTGTTTATTCGTTTTCTGTCTGTTATTTGGGAGGTCCGCTATGATTGCCCGGCAAATCGATGCAAGTCTGCCCCACCCCCTCCCCCTCGCCCTTCTTCGCCAAAGGGCAAATCTCATTGATCCAATGAGGCACCAAGTCCTTGGGCAAAAGGACTGGGGAGCAAGAAGCTATATACTATTACTAGTAACAAAGGGGAAAAAAACATGTTGTAGGTTGTATTTTTTCATACTACTCTACCGGCCACAAACATATCTATGGTCCATGGTATTGATTCTAGCGGCATCTAGTCCCTCTGATGGAGCCATGTGAATGGCATAGCCTTCTTTCACCTGTGACGTCCTTGCCAAATGTGTGCGTTGGAATCTTCCAAATACTACAGGTCACTCTACAGGTCGATTTCTTGAGGTCACAGGGGCCCGAGAACGAAACAACATTCATTGGGCATCGTGGATCAACCAAACGGACGGGCCGCCAATGGAATTCCAACGGCATCGCAGTCGTCTGTGGCTCACACTTCGTTGAACTGGTGCTCTTTCAGGTGCAAATCCAGTGTCTCTGTGCAAATTCGCTCCACCTCGATCAGGTTTGAGGCTTGCAATCGGCCAGGATGAAGGGCGAGATAGAAAGAAGTGCCAGGAGCCGATAGAATACGGGGCACTCAACACAAAATTTGAAAGGAAACACAGCCCACTCACCTATTGAGCACCTTGTTGGGTCCCTCTCTCAGACCCCTGCATCATCTTGCACCCAGGCACTGTCCTTGCGAGCTTCGCCCTCTTCGAGCAAAACCGAGAGGCCCCCCGAATACCTATAGCAACACTTGAAGGGGGACTGCGACTCTTGGCTATTGGATGCTTTTGGGATCATGACACTGATGCCGCTCCGCTGATGAGGAGTGATGGCGGCGATTATGAGAACTGATGCTTTGTCCTCAGAACTGTGAAGCTCGTCCACCATGCGCACAGATCCACCGCCAAGCTCCTGCGCAAAAACAAGACTTCGTCCCGGCATCTTGGCCCAAAGGCCTTGCTCAGAATGATTTGCTGATATTGCAACGGCACATAAATAAGCACCATCGAAAGCGCACCACATTGAAAGTTGCATGACCTGCTGATTCAAACTCAGTCAGAAAATGCGAACAATGAACATGATAATTCCATCCTACCCTATGCAGGTCAGAAATGCGATGGGTAACCGGTATCGGGTCCTCGCACTGGCCCCCACAAAGGCCGTTGTCTTGAGCCAGCCAAGGAGACAAAAGGCGGAGACACTACTATTGTATAGTTAGGTGTATGAACTGAGATAGACAGATAGATAGATAAATAAATAGATTCATATATATATATAGACAAATAGAAAAAGTAATATTACATAATTGGTATTATATAATATTATATATACAGCTAGAATTCAGTGGAAATTGTCTGGCCACCCTTGGTTGGTTGGCCTCATGGCACTGCGTTTCGTGCTTGGCCACATCCACATTGACTTAGCCACTGTTGTTTCCTGCTGTCAGAGTTCTGCTTGTCTTTCCTGCTGGACAAGCAGGGTGGTTTTAGTGCCGTTTGCCGCTCTTTGGCCTCCTGCACGGAATTGGGTCGTCTGAGCCGCCCAGAAAGGAAATGCATGGTCATCCAGCCCAAAATGCTTTTGGGGGGCCTGTAATGTGCTCAAATCGGGCTAGGTTTGTCATGTTTGCCCGGCTTTCCCTTAAAACTTTTGAGAATTCATGACACTGCGAAGCATATCTAAAGGGTTGTCTATCGAGTTGTCCCGGTGGGCAGTTCAAAACCTCGGCTTCGGCTTTTGAGATACCCTTCGCGTAGCTTCAAATCATCGGGGGGTGCATAATATATTATATATATATATATATCCGAATCCTGCTCGCCAGCCGTCGTCTTGGTCATTGGCATGTCCTCTTACCATGAACAGCGACTGATTCTGAGCTATCTGATGCTCAAACAGGAGCCGATTGTTGGCTCTCCAACCCCAGCTCACAGCTCCGGCATCTTTTCTCTATCCGCTGGGGAAGACCACGGCATCGATACTGTTCTGAATTGGAGAAAGAGGCATCCTGACATGGAGAACTGCAGTTCCTTGTAATTATATGTGCTTCGCACTCTAGCTTTTCGACGCCTTTCGGTTGCAAGTCAAAGCATGCAAATCCAAGAAGCATTCATCACATGTCAACAAAGCGGTTCTCCTCCATTAAGTTAAACCCTACAAACAGCCAGCCAGCAAGGTCCCTCATGCCTCACGGTGCATAGAAACCTTCTCCAATCCGCAGCCGCCGGCCGTCCCAAAGCAGCCCGTGAATCCTGCCGATGCCAGGGCATGTCAGGCTCAGGGGAGGAGAACTGGTCAGGGGATGTCAGGGGCCCAGGATCCGGACTCCTGGATCAAACTGGGTGGTAACGGTCCGCTATGTAAGCTGCGAAGAGCCACAGTAATTATGATGAAATCTTATTGATTTCATTGGAATCTTTGAAGTGGAGTTGCTCAATTGTCAGGCGCACTTGGCAACATTGGCGTGAACGGGTGTCTTTGTTCATCTGAAGCCGAAAGGGGTCATCATTCTGCACCATCTTGCCAAAAAAATTCGGCAGCAACTGGCCATGAAACCCTAAACCCAATCGCCAAGCCAAGCCCAAGCAGTCACTGCACAAGTAGGACCCGCATGGACTCTCGAACCTCATCACCTCCAGAACCGAGGCTTCGGCCAGGGGATCCGACGTGGGGCACCAGCGCCACTGGCCTGCGAGCCGGCGAGCTGGGTCCGGCCCTGCAATCCGAGTGGATGATGGCCCGTAAACATAGCACTGCAGAGTAAATGATGCTACAGGAGATGGCCTTCCAGTAAATGACACTACTGGAGTATAGATGATGGCCTCTACTCCAAGTATCTGCAAGTGATGAATGGTCAGGACCCCAAGAGATCTATCGATAGATTCTATACGCTCATAAAGCCTTTAAACTTTAAACCACATTCAGTGGGCGATTGCTTACCAGTTGCTGCTGTCAAAAGAAGGTCCAGAATCGCTCAGGATTTCTACTTGCCCTTTGGTGCCCAAAGGGGCACTCCCAAAGGCAACTATCAATGACTAATATCTTTCTGTTGACCTGAGAATTAGCAATCTGCAAGTGCAATGGTGAATAAAGGATGGATTGTCACGGTTCAGCATTGTTACGATTGTTAGGGAAATCGCAGGTCGAAGCCTTTGACTCAGTGGCATGCCGAGAAGTCTAGTCTCTTGCCTTTATGCATTTGTGCCCCGAAAGGGTTCACGTGCCACATTGTCAATTGTCACTAAAGTCGTGAATGATCAATTGGACCAAAGGCTTGCAGCAATCCACGTAAGCATTCCCAATTGCAAGCTAGGCAGGAAAGGACACAACACAATCGGGCAAGCCTTTCAGGCCAGCACTTTTCTACATACGGCAACCCTTCAAACAATAGAAGCACTCTGAGGCGATAGTGTCTCAGAACTGAACCTGGTCACCATCTTGCACACGCGCCTGAGCAACTTATTGTCGAGTCGCGAGAAAGTGGTTACCAAATCCATGGAAAAGGTTCTGCTTTGCTCTGTGGCGCACTATGTTTGGAGGCTGCTATCAAAGCAGTCAACGTGGGAGGTTCTCCAAAGAAGGGCTCTCATCATTAAGAATCATTAAGACCTTTAACTTTGCAGCAGGTTCCAACTCACAACTACTATATAGCATTGAATAGCCGTTGTCGATCATTGTCGCTCTTCAATGCCCTACAGAACCATTGAAATTGCACTGAGGCTTACCAGTAGTTCACATCAAACCCTGTCTTAGTATATTAACGTATATTATACTTATTCGATTTTCGTGGGAACTAAATGTTGTCGACTGGGCTTGTTACAAATCTATACAAATCTCCGCAACCAGCGGCGATCTAAACATGAGGATTCGTCAACCAGCATCGAATCTCTACGGGTACCGCTAGTGCCGATATGACGGCAAGAGCCGAACAACCAACAACTTCAGATCCCTGAAGGGAAGAAACACAAGCCGCAGGAACATGCCCCGAAATGCCCCGAAGCCGATGTCAGGAACGGTCCTCGTCTAGTCTCCCTATGCTCGTCGACGGCATAGTTTGAGGGTTGACTCAACCATGCCCGGGCATGTCTCAAGGTACGGGACTGTGCGAGAATCCCTTTTACCACGCATGCCGTTGATAGAGCAGAGTGTTGAGAGCGCGAAAGAAGATCTTTCCGCTAATTCACATTCACATACATGGAATGTGGACATACGAAATGTACACATGTATGCAGGCCGCGTGCTGAATCATACGAAATGAGTCGATTTGTGTTCGAACATAGAAAAAGTCCATCAGTGCTTTATGCCGATTCCTTGCGGGATCCTGTGGCATTCACCCAGTGGCTGCCCATACCTCACTTCGTCTGATGACCCCCACCATCCGCTCCAGGACTCTTCGAAGTTCTTCACTTTCCAAGTCCTGACCGCCGCGGCAGGACCGCGGCTCCCAGACGGATGTTCAATTAGCTGCAGGTGTTTAGGTCAAACACCTAATTATATGGTCCTTAATTGCGTTTTTCTGGTCTACTGGTATGTTCGGGTATTTGATGTGAGATTAAATCTCGTTGAACTTCAAGCAAAGTAAGCAAATACCCTTTTCAGTGCTTCCAAAGTCGTCCAAATTGTCATAGACAAGAGGTTCTTCTGCCGGCATCGATCATCCAAACGGCCCACATGCCCCGTCGTTTTTCCCAAGCATGAAGCCGGACGGTAGAAGGCGGCCCCCCCCCCAGCCTGTTCAGCACCAACGGATTCAAAGGCCTCTTGCTGCTGTTGCTCGGACAAGCCTGCCATATGCTGAAGGGGCGGCATGTTTGTCGTCACAGGTTCAACGATTCCAAGGATTCCAAGGTTTCCGGCGTCCCGACATTCAGCGCTCATTGGTAGGAGGCCCCCATAAAGAGTGATTGGCAAGAAACATCAAGCCCGAAGATTGCTAAGGTTTACAATGCTGGTCTTGGAGCTATAAACATGGTGAGCAGTGACCAGCCACCCTAAAACACAATTATAGATCAGTCCAAAAAGTGCACTATATAACTTTTCGGCTTCCTTGCGGGCAAGGAGAAACCTCACAATCAACAAAGTACTACTGATATAATCATGGATAGCCGGGTCTACCGTTGACCCCGGCCCGGCCCGAGGCCCGGCCCGGCCCGGCCCGGCCCGTGCGAACTCCCTTCCCCGGCACAGCCGTCAGGAGGCCAGCTGACGCAGTGGGCAAAGGAAGAATCTATGCATCAAGATGTATCCACAAACATGTTAGAGGAGGGATCGGCAAAGTGTTTTTAGTCTGTGCGAATAAACCCCTTTCTACTGTTGTCGGTCTACGGAGCTGGAATGGGGGTTTAGTTTTGATTAAACCCTTTTGGGTCGATTGATATTCATACCCTTGGGTTTGGGGTTTGGATCAGGATGTAAACCCTTTGTGATCAAGTGAGGGCCCTTACTCGACCAAAAAGGGTTTAATCAAAACTAAACCCCAAGTACAGCTCCGTAGACCGACAATATTAGAAAAGGGTTTATTCGCACAGACTTAAAAACCAGCCGATCCATCCTCTATAAAGTGTTTGTGGATACATCTTGATGCATAGGTTCTTCCTTTGCCCACTGCGTCAGGTGGTCTCCTTACGCCACACCGGGGCGGTGGATTTGAGGTGTGGTTTGGTGGAGGACCTATACAAATGGAAGGACCGCAGTGGACCGGCCCGGACCGCCCGGACCGACCCGCAGTGGCCCGGCCCGCGGTGGCCCGGCCCGCCCGGACCGGCCCGGACTATCCATGATAATGGTTTTGCGCCTCCTAGTGCCTGTTGGTGACGTGGCAAAAAGAAGCGGGCCGCCAGCCTCCCTTTTGTAGAAGGCTTGTGGCCTAACCAACGCAAGGCAGAATGCCGGGAAAACAATTTGAGGCTGCATAATTTGAATATCTTCTGGAGGAACTTGCAGCCGAGCACGGCCTTCGAACTAGTTCCCATCTACAAAACCGCGTTGCTCAAACGACATGTAAAAACGCAGCCTGGAACGTCATGCGAGTCGTTCCAAAAAAACCTTCGACAACTTCGTTCCATTGGCTATCATTGCTCTGCCGGCACTGCCTGCTCTATGCTAATAGAGGTTCCATCGCCCAGAAGTGGCAGGACCTCGCAACGGGAGCCCGGCTCTTTCTGCAGAGTACAACTGTTCAGCAGGACCTGTGGTGGGAACATGATCGTCGGACCAATCCATCTGCAATCTGCATTCTACTAGCCTTTTTAAGAGCACATACGGAGGAGGTCCAAGCTACTCAACACACTGACATGCAACACACCCTGACTCCCAAAAATTGAAAACCAGCAAGCAAGAACTATTTCTGGCGCTGTATGTGGGGGCACTACAGCCCACTGCATGGAATACATTCTGTTCGTGTGGGCCGTGCAGAACCACCAGCTGGGGGCGTCCACGGCCGCAAAGAAAAGTTCGTAGAAACGGTCCTGTTCATCCTGCAGTGATGATCGAGTGAATATATTCAGGGTATGGGTGGTATAGTTTTAAACAGAAACTCACGCCACAACCATTGGCCTCCGACCTCCACTGCTTTAGAAACGGGCAGAATATGTTTGGGTCTTGGGGGAACGAGGTCTTGGGCGAAGCCTGCTCTTCGTCTCGGTTCAGAGACATCTCCCCTCAAGTCTTTCGCGGCTCCTGCTGGCACTCCTTTCCTTGCAGCTCTGAAGGTGGAGTACTCCGGCTGGCCTATGGAACCACCAACAACGCCCGTTGCTACGACTCCAATTTCAAACGGTGAGCGAGGACTCACGCACTGCAATGCATATAGCTGCCAGAACTTCGACGCCACCCACCTCTGACGGAGGTAGAGGCTGGCGCAGGGCCTCAACGTTTGCCAAAGCTTCCCCAAAGGCTCTGCAACAAACAAGGTTTCTCAAGGTTGCGGGATGTATGATTATTCTAACATTTTGTCATCTGTCAACCTTGTTGTTCTGGACCTTCTTGGACCTTCTGTCAGCACCACGTCAGCTGAGGCATCTAAGACAATCACAACCATGTGCCTGCACGTCTACTACATGAGTCGACAAAAAATCAAGAAGCCTCCAGAGGTTGTGCGGCAGCAGCTTCCATGTGTGCCGGGGGACCAATCCGAGCACCAGCTACCTGTGTGGGAGCGAGAAGTCCATTTGTTTTGTCCGGGCGGGTCCAAATCCGTGTTTCTGGAGAAACATGTTCTTCATCTGCGTGCGAATGGCACTCGCTGGCCAAGAACTTGGCTATTGCTCATTGCGCTACGTGGAACAAACATGAGTCACATGAGCTAACCGTGTCCTTCCTCCGCCACTTGAAGGGAGGCGTCTCCGTCCTGCAATATACAGTATATGTGTAATTTACGTTTCTTCAGTCATTGTTGTATCATCATTGCATCATCCAAGTTTGAAGCCACGGTGCCAGCCCCATACTTAGGTGTGAAAGTTTGTCCATGGCTCACTTACACCTACGCTTTCTTCCAGAAGGACTTTGGACTTTAGGCCACGCAAACGCTCATGCTCGCAAGCGCTTCCAGCATCATGGTTGGGAGAAGAAGTGCTTACTGCGGCGCATGGTTGGTCATAATAAGTATCCATGACCTCGTGAAGTTTGCCGCACGGGGTGGGGGTGGGCTCCACAAAAATTGTTCATCTGGTCCGATGCCAAAGCCTTCAAAAGAAAGAATGCGCCTTTGTTTTTCAAATAACACGTTTGAAACATTTAAGATGCGCACCATCATATAACTTCAAATTATCTTTCATGCCTTTGGTACAATTTATTGCTAGAACACTGTCCCCGGCAACATGGCACACCCTCACTCACCTCGAAGATCTCCAATTTCTGATCCTCTTTGGGTGACTCCACATCGTCGCCTGCTGTCAGCATGCGGTGCGGCAGTTGAGGTTGCCATGTTGGACGAGTGCCATCGCAAAAACAAGTAAACCATTTGTATCCATTTGCGGTGGTAGTACGTTTGGGCAGCCACAAGGCCTAGTCGCAACGTTGTGGCATCAAACGCAATTCCAACTTGCGCAAGAAGTCTGACTTTGACTTCCCTTCACTGCACCTACAAACACATCCGGTGCCAACAGCGCTGTTGGCGGAACCTGGCCCGGGGTAGCCAGCGAGACTGCCAAACAACCCCAAGTCCAATCCAAAACATACACTTTGACTCACTAACATGGATTTAGAAAATGGATGACAACGGTCTTTATCTCTCTCTCTCTCTCTCTGGGCAGCGTTTGGCAACAACGCAGCCGTGCATTATGAGGACTACACTGTTGTGCCAACAATCAGAACAGCCCTTTCCAAGAGAACATTTTCCATTTCCATGTTACTGAGGTTTTCATGGTTTTTTTTTGCCCATCGACGTCTTCCACTTTCGTCCTCTACACATTTACATTGCTAACGGACCAGAACGCCTCGGCACATCGCGATCGAAATTCCACAGATGCAGTAATCTCGCAAATTTGTTGCAAACCTGGCCACGCGTGGCGTTGCGCAACGCTAGCCTTTTTTTGCTCAAACACATAATGACAAAATGTTGTTCGTCGACACCGGCATGCGTTCTAAACATTTGTGGCCTCAATTGCTGAGTTCCAAACTTTGTTGACACGATTTGCGAAGTTCGGGCCTTGCTCGTGCTGCTACAAGAAGCGGGCAATGTGAGTTCAAAACTGTTCAATAGCATTTGACCAGCTCCACGCATCTCGAAAGGCATGCTGAGGTTCCCACAAGCGGGAATCGGAACTAAGAAACCTCAATTCCTGGATTGCCTCAGGGTAGCGCCATGCAGTCAATCAATCAATTAGTCAATCATTGAATAAACCATTCAACCGGCCACACAAACGAACAAGCAAACTAAATCACGCGCTCACATGTGAGCGTGCCACCTCCAACAACGAAGTAGCCGACCTCCCAAGAACATCTGACTTGAAATGGGCTGCCCCAAACCAACCCCCTTGCCTGGCCACGGAAAGTTCATCAATCATTTGAAGCCTCACACATACACACATAAAACCGGCAACTGTACGTCTCTGACAATATTGTGACAAATTTGCGCGTTCTGGCCCAGCAAGCCTTCCCAACCACGTCAATGTCCGGCCAGTCGCACCTTTGGCGTTGCCAGACCTTGGACTGGCGATTTAAAGAACATGCATCACCCGCAATACCAAACGCGAAAACATTTAGTTGCAGGCGTGATGTTCATGACAGTTCGCCGAACTTCCTCCATGATGCGCGACCTTGAAGCAAACATTTCCATGATGCGGCGAGCAACAAAACAGGCCGGAAACTTTACAGTACCAACACCCTTTGCTGACGATTCTGCTGGGCAAGTCGCCATGCACTGGTTCCTGAAAATATGTTCCCACAAAGAAGGTGTCACCAACAAAAACGAACAATGCGAAGCAAAAACGATGTTTTTATCACGCTTGGGCCTATACAAGTTGGTACATTCGATTTGTGCGTGTCAGCCTTGAGCGGGTGGAAACTCTGGAGGGTTTGACACCCCCTCTCCGCTCAGGCACACTGCACATAGATGGAGCTGTTCTCCTCCCGCAAAATGCGGGCAGCCCTCCTGAAAATGAATCCGCTTGCCGTAGCGGCAAATCCTGTACTTTAAATTCCTCTTCATCAGCTTCTCACCGTGTTTCAATGCCAGTTGGCATTCTCCAAGGGCCATGTCTCGTTGCTCTCTTGTCTGCCGGATCGTCTGCTCCAGCTCTTCAATGTACAGGTCGAGTTGAAAGACCTTGTTCTGCAAGTCATCGTTCTCAGCTTGCAGATCATCCATCTGTCAGACTAAGTTGCCTTCTCTTTCACTTCTTCCTTCCCATTCATGTACTTCACCATCTCCCTGTTCATCTTCTTGAAGGTGTCCTCGACGTAGGTCCATGCCATCCGCATCACCTTCATGAACAGGTAGTGTCGTAACCACTCTGATCATCAAGGCCCCAATGGCTGCACAGATCAGCCAAATCCATTTCCAATTTTCCCCCTCTTCGTCATTGGCCTCTTCTACCTTCATGCCAGCCACACTCTCCAAGTTTGAGAGTAGCCAGATCAGGCCAACGTGGAGGTTCTTGTTCTTGAGCACCTTTTGTGTACCTTTCCTCATTCTCTCACGGTGCTCAAGTTCTTTGTATTCATCGTGCCCAACTCGATCTCCAGCACCGTCGATCATCTTGAGCATGAAGAGCAAACCAAATAGTCGGCTTCTTGTCAGACCTTTGGTGCCGATGTCCGCGGTGTTCAGTTCTGTCGGTATTGGGCTCACTGCAAGAATCTTGTCCTTCTCCTTTTGCTGGATCCATAGTAGGGCGGCATCCATATGTCTGACCCTGCCGATTCCTTGCCTTTGAACCATAGAGCGTGCTGCCGAACTGTCTGATCTGACCTTCATTTCACATGGTTCATCAACCATCTTCGTCCACAGGTGCCGGACCAATAGCCCGTCAGAGCACCCTCCAACCATGGAAATGAATTCGGCCTCTCCTGAAGACAATGAAATCGACTTCTGAGATCGCACCCTTGATTCCATCAGGTGCCCGTCCAGCAGAATCTGAAATGAAAATGCGCTCTTGCGATCATTTCTGTTTCCAACATAGTCGCTATCGCACATCACCTCAAGCAGATGTTTCTCCTTGTCTTCTGCTTCCTCTGCATCTCTGACATCCATCACTGTCTGTCCCTTGGCTCTCGACGACAGCCTCACTCCAAAGCCTTGTGTTCTTTGGAGGTAGGAGCACACATGCCAAGCGTTCTTCCATGCTTGCTTTGTCGGCTTTGACATGAACTTTGCCAAACTTTGGATGGCAAATTGGACGTCTGGCCTTTCACCTGCCAGATACATCATCTTCCAACCACACTACTGTATCGTGTGATGTCTTCGCCCTGCAGCTCCTCACTTTCATCCTTTTTGCTGAACTCTTGGCTTGTAGGTGTCTTTCTGTAGGCCTTCTTGTAGATGTCCATATCCTTCGCCAGACTCTCATACTGTTTGTAATCGCACCTGGTGTCACACCATTCATTGTACATCACGAATTCTCGCTTCAGGTAATGGAAGGTTTCTCCACTTCGGAATGGGCCTTTCTCCTCGATGCTCCACTTCATCTTCTCCTTGAGATGGTTTACAAATGCCCTCAAATTCTTTTCCTTCCCAACCATGAAGACATCGTCGACGTGAACCGTGATGTAAATCTCCTTTGGTTTCATGAGCAAGGTGGGCTGCATGACATCTTGCTCAAGCCCAAATTCCTTTGCTGTCTTTGCGAAAAGCTGGAACCATTGGGATGCTGCTGTCCTTTAACCCGGGGGGCATTTCACCAATCTGTAGATCACTCCGTCCACATCCACATAGGCTTTCTCTTCCTTGGGTTGGTCAGCCATGAGGAAGGCGTCCTTTATGTCGAGGGTCACGTTCAGCAGTAAGTGAATCAACATCTTTGGCACCACTAGCATGGACGTCGGCGCGAACGTTTGTTCAATGTTGATACTGCTTTTGAACTGCCTGGCTACCAGTCTCGCTCTTCGAAACCACCTTCCTTGTTCAAGCCTGTGCTTCCAGGTGAGGACGAACTCTCTCAACCTCACCTGGCTCACATTTCACCATGGCTGGGATCTTGATCATCCTGCTCACCTCATTCAGCCTTGCTTCATGATCAAGTCGTTCTAGGTGAGCTTCTGTTGTGATTGGAGGTTCATCATCTTCATTCCCTCCATGTCCTGCAAAGAACTCCTCAGACAACTCTTCGGGGATCAGTTCATCGTTCATCTCCTCGTCCCCATGTGCCTCAATGGCCTGGATTCCTGCGTATTGCGGTGGATAAAGCCTGGGAATCTTGCTGGCCGATGAGGTCACAGGCCGGTCTCCTTCTTCTCCTTCCCTTTGCCTTGTTGAGCTGACTGCAGGTGTTTCTTCCATCTCCTCAATCTCAATCTCCTTTTTTCTTTGCTTCTTCTCTCCGTCTTGTGCCTCCTCATGCGATGTCTCCCTCTTCTCATGTAGTCGTCGGGGGGGGTCCTCATCATCATGCCTCTTTGCTTCGGGTTCTCCCTCACCTTCTTCTGCACTCCTCTTCCTGGGAGTTTCTCGACCAATGGCTGGCGTCATAGGGGCTGTCACTGCAGGAAGGCCTGGTGTAGTGGGTTGCGGCTTCAGCCCAGATGCAGGGGTCACCACTCCAGCAGCTACTGCTTCTGTAGTCATTTTCATCTCTTCCTCTGTAGCTTCATTTTCCAACGTGGGTTGCCTGTACCTCTGAGCTGAACCACCGTGCTTCATCATGATCCCTTGTGGAGGGTATGCCCATGGTAGTCCTTTGGCGATGATGATGCCTGTTCCTCTGAAGCATTCCTCCACTGCCAACCTCCTGATCGTCCTCGCTTCAAACGCCCCCTCGGGTGTCAGGATGATGTGGGTATCATTCCAACTATGTTTTCCAACCCAGATGCCCCTCTCGAATGTGTCGCTGGCTTTGTACTTTGTCATCCTCTTGAACATCACTGTCTCTCCATACAATGCCAGCTTTCCTCGGTACACATGTCCGGTAGCCAATTCGTAGCTGGTCTCGCCGATCTTCTCCAGGACTCGAAACCTGTTGATCAGGAACGATGCGCACCTGAATGACCAGGGGTACATGTGCAGGTTGCCCATGATCTTGATGAAGGCCTTTCCCTCTGCATATGATCTGAGGCAGTTGGCTAGTTTCCTCATCGTTTGCACTGCCCTCTCAACCTGACCATTTGAGGCGTGTTGTCCGCTGCCTGTCAATCGAATCTCGCATTGCACACCCATCACTGGCCGGACCTGTTGCACGGACCTCAATATCCTCAATATTTGACTCATCAAGCGCTCTGAGTCACCCTGAAAGATACACGGGTCTCGGCCACTGTTCTCGAGAGAGAAGCGGATCACCTCCTCTGTGATGGTTTTGAGACTTGCAGTATATAGGTACTGTATGTATTGCCTTCGTCTCAGATGAAGTCATCACTAAGCAAATCCCGAACTGATCTGAGCGCTCTGCCACCTTATCAGTTGGAGACCATGCAGCATACGGGATGTGCGTCACAAAGTGTGCCTCTTGGTCCTTCCTTGAGGGCAACTTGGGCTGTGGCAAATCCAGTGATTGATCGTAGTCCTAGCGGCCACTGCTCAGGG